GCTCTCTTGCCAAGGGCCCACCCACACCCCCTCCACGCAGCCTGCCAAGGGCCCACCCACACCCCCTCCACTGCAGCCTGCCAGGTGCCATGGTCTCTTTTGGGGGTGTGGACTGTGCAGCCTTCCCAGGGGCCCCAAGAGCCATTGGGACGGGAATGTCTCCACTCTGGAGGGGCCTGCGATGGTGATGCCCCCCTCCCGGGGGCTCTGAGTTCCAGAAGTGCAGAGAAGGGAGCGCACTTGCCTTCCCCTCCACTCCGACTTCAGTTCTTGCTGTCGGGCTCTTTCCTGGGTAGTGGGCAGACAAGATGGCCGTCCTCCTTTCCTGGAGGTTGGGTCCTGGGGACGAAGGGAGGCCTGTTTGACCCCAGGTGCCTTTGAGGTGGGGATAGCGAAGGAGGAGATGGGCATGTGAGGGAATGCCCTAGAAAACTCTGCCTTTGGAGTCAAGAGGGCTGGGTTTTCCTTTTGTATTTTAGAAAGATTTTCCCTGAAGTTCCCCAATGAGCCTCCTCTCCTGTGTGATTGGCTAGAATCGTGTCCTGTGTCTCATACTTCGGCCAATCAGAGGCAGGAAGCAGCAACTGGCCTAAAGAAGCAGGTGGATTTGGAGGAAGGAAGTTACCCCAGGCAGGGCTGAGTTGTGAGAAAGCAGATGGGGAAATCAGTGTTGCCCAGGCAACCAGTAGCAGCCGCTAGGTTTCCTCTGATGTCCATGCTCCGCCCCAACACTGTCACCAAGAATGGCTGTGGCTCATCCTGGGGCCATGAAGAAGTCACTTCTCTAGGTACCTATAACATGGGCCCATAGAATGGAGACAGTCTCCCAGCTCAAAGGAACTTAATAACTTTTTTTTTTTTTTTTGAGAAGTTTTTGCTACAGGGCGCGTGCACTCACCGGAAAGACAGACAGAAAACGAGAAGTCACCTCCTAGGGGGGATGGCCATGCCGCAGTCTCTTCTCCTCCATTCTCCTCTCGAGATCTTGGGCACGCATCCGGTGTGAGTTTAAGCCACCGGGTCCAGGAATCGAACTGCAGTCGACTACATGGGAGTTCAGCGACATAGCCATTACGCCAACTGCTGGTCCCAAAGGGACTTAACGACTTTTTGAGGTGAGTGCTTGCTTTATGTATTTTTTTAAAATAATGAAGTAATTTTGGCTATGAATTTTCCTATGAGTACACTTTTAACCATGTAGTAATTTTTCAACTGTAATTTTTCTTTTTAAAAATAATTTTAATTTTATTTATTCATTCATTTATTTATTTCAGTAATGGCAGTTGGCCATGTGGGAGTCCAGCACCCTTAACCACCAAGCCACCTGCCGCCTCTCAACTGTGATTTTTCTAATTCGGGTGTAGATGATCTACGATTCAATAGCTGTTAGGAGGAATTTTTAAAACATCAAGGACCAGCCCCATAGCTTAATAGTTAAGGGAGCCAGATCCCACATGGCTGACTGAATCCTGGACCCAGCGGCTTGAAAAACACACAGGATCATGTGCATGCGTTCCCCAAATCCCAGCAGGGTGGAGTAGAGAAGGAACTGTGATATGACCGTCTGCCACTAGGGAGAGCTTTCTCTTTGTCTGTCTGTCTGTCTTTCTCTGCTGAGTGCATGCGCTCTTTGGGCAATTTTTTAAAAAATCAAAAGTGAGATTTTCCTGTTTATTTCAGTAAGATCTATTTTTAAAAATTCTGTTATTGGGGCCAGCAGTTGGCTTAATGGCTATGTCACTGGACTCCCATGTAGTCAACCATGGTTCGAGTCCTGAACCCGGTGGCTTAAACTCATGCCGGGCACATGTGCGTGCGTGCCCAAGATCCCCAGAGGAGAATAGAGGAGAAGGGATTGCAGTGTGGCCATGCCCCCTGGGGAATGATTTCTCTGTCTGTCTGTCTCTCGTCTCTCTCTGTCATTCTGGCAAATGCATGCGCCCTATAGCAAAAACCTCTAAAAAAAAAATTCTGTTACTATTTTTAAAAATAATTAATTTATGGGACTGGTAGGTGGCATGGTGGTGAGTGCTTGCTTTATGTATTTTTTGGTGGTGGTTAAGGGTGCTGGACTCCCACATGGCCGACCACAGATTGAGTCCTGGACCTGGTGGCTTACTTTCTCACTTTCCAATAAAATAATTCTTTCAAAATATTATTTAATTTAATTATTATTATTTTTAAAATTTGACCAAAGAGAAACAGAGAGGGAAAGTAAGAAAGGAAGCCACTGTGTCTGGGACTCGAACCACAGTCAGCCATGTGGGAGTCCAGTGCCTTTAACCACTATGCCACCTGCCGTCCCCAATAAATAACTTTAAAAAAATAAAAAAGATTTGAAGCGATCAACAGGTAGTGTAGCAGTTACTTCACTGGATTCCCATATGGCCAACTGCAGTTCAAGTCCTGGACCTGGTGACTTAACACTTATGCTGGGTGCAGGTGCATGTACATGTATGCCCAAACTCCCAGGAGGAGAATAGAGGAGAAGAGATCGGGGTATAGCCATTCCCCCTGGGGGTGATTTCTCACTTTCCCTCTCACTGTCTCTCTCCAGCAAGCTCATGCACCCTAAGGCAAAATCTCTTTAAAAAAAGATAATAAAAAAAAGTTTATGGGGAGCCAGCAGGTGGCGTGGTGGTTAAGGGCACCGGACTCCCACATGGCCAACCATAGTTCGAGTCCTAGACTTGGTGCTTGCTTTCCCACTTTCCATCTCTCTCACACTCTCTCAGTCTGTCCCTCTCTGGTCAAATTAATATAAATAAAATAAAATAATTTTAAAAATGTTTATAGGAAAAATACTGACTGTATTAAGGGAGTGGCTGAGGGTTGGAGTAACTGGTCTACCGCAACCTTTCATCCATGTTGGATCCTCCCACCACCAAGCCAGCGCTCCTCTGCGGGCACACCTCTGTGACGGGGCTCCTCACCTCCGAGGGCTGTGAGGAGTCCTCCTATCCTAGTTTAAGCCCCCATGCCCTCCGTTCCCTTCCCCTCCCGTCTGCCCTTAGTGAGCTAAACTACCTCAGGGCCTTCAGCCACGTCCACGGCGTCCCTGACTCCCCCTAGTGGTGGCCTGCTTGCAGCGCCCGTCTAAGACAGCGCAGATACACAGGCTGCACAGCTATGCGCAGGAAGCAGGATTTGAACCTGAGGCAGTTGTTCCAAAACCCCGGGCTCTTTGCCCACCTGCTCTCATTCAGTCTTCTGCACAATCCTGAGGGGGAGGGAATAGCAGGATTCATTCCTTTCTTGAGCACGTCACAGAGATGGAGAGTCCTGTTTGGGATCGTGCAGATTTGAATCCAGGGGTCGTCTGACACTGTGATGACAAGCAACCACACTCCTCACATGACTGCTTGCCATCTCCCCACCCCAATTACCTGGCTCTGCAGGTCCCTCCTGTCTCTTCGGGTGTGATTTTCAAGCCGCCAGATCCGGGACTCGAACCGTGGTCGGCCATGTGGGAATCCAGCGCCTTGAACCACCATGCCACCTGCTGGCCCTCGCCTACCGCTTTAACTGTCATCCAGAGCCCTCTCCCTGTGAACACACCGGCCTTTATTCCACCAAGGATTTCTCATTATGTATTTAATAATGCTAAAGCGTGCATATGTCACATTTGACAGGAGGGCTTTTTCCCTCCCGAGTTTGAAGCACCACTGGGAAACAATTAACCCTATTGGAGGCAAAAACAAAGGGACGCCATCAGGAAAGACAGTCCCAGGAACTCTCGGCTCTTAATTGAACAATTACCTCTTATGCCTCTGAATCGTTCATTATTACATGCCCTGTTATTATTAGCTGTTGTTATTGTTTGAGGTGAATGCTAGGGATTTTATTATTTTTCAAATCAAAAGCCACATTCAATCACCCCGTTCCTATCCTCCGAGCGTGCCCTCCCACCGTCCCCACGCGGCAGTGTCGTGGCAGGCAGTCTCGCGCCTGGCCCAGAGGACGGATTCGGGGTCATGCTAGTCGTCTGAGTGGGGCGGTGAAGCCCTCCAGGCTTCCGTACACACTGTTACTAGTTGGCTCCTTAGTGAAAGCGTTACACAGGAACCAAGCACCTCCTGTTTTTAATTTTCTTTTAAAAGATTTCCTTCCTTGGGACCAGCAGGTGGCATAGTGGTTAAGGCATTGGACTCCCCCATGGCTGACCACGGTTCGAATCCCTGACCTAGCAGCTTGAAACTCCTGACAGGTGCCTGGGCGTGTGTGCCCACAATTCTGAGAAGAGAATGGAGGAGAAGGGATAGTGGCGTGGTCATCCCCCGGGGGGCGATTTTTCACTTTCCCTGTCATTGTGTCTCTCTGTCTCCTCCCAGTGAGTGTACCCAAAAAAGAAAAATCAATCTCCTTCCTCTCCTTCCTCCCTCCCTCCCTCCCTCCCTTCCTTCCTTCGACAGAAGGTGTGTGCTCTTACCATAGAGGAGGAAAAAGCCATCTAGCGGGGCGTGGTCACACCTCCACCCCTCTCCATTTTCCCATCCTGGCAGGGTTTGGGGCACCCGTGCAGACG